GCCCTCCCACACCCCCGCTCCACCAGCCCCACCCACCACACCCACCACGCCCCCCCCCCCCCCCCCCCCCACCCACCCACCACCCCTCCCGGCCCCGCCCCGCCCCCTGCGCGGCAGCCCATGAGCGGCGCCGACGCCGCCGAGCGCATCTTCATCGGCGGCCTGCCCTACTACCTGACGGAGGAGCAGTGCCGCGAGCTGCTGGCCTCCTTTGGCGCCATCAAGTCGTTCGACCTGGTGAAGGACAAGGAGACGGGGCAGTCCAAGGGGTGGGTGGGCGGGCGCTGCGCGGGGGGGTGTGGGGCGATGTGGGTGTGGTGGTGGTGGTGGTGGTGTGTGTGCGTGCGTGCGTGCGTGTTTGGGGTGCAGGGCTGCCAGCCGCGCAGTACGGCCCTGGGCCTGCGACTACCTGATTCTGCCGCTCCCTGTTGCCCCTTCCTCTTGCCCCCCCTCCCCCCAGCTACGGCTTCTGCGTGTACGAGGACCCTCGCGTCACCGACGTGGCCTGCCAGGGCCTCAACGGCATGCGCATGGGGGACCGCACGCTGACGGTGCGGCGCGCCACCGAGGGCCAGCGCCAGCAGGCGGAGCAGAAGCAGCAGGATATGTATGTGGGCAACACGGCGCGTGTGGTCAAGCTGAGCCACGCAGGTGGGCTTGTGGGGTGGGTGGGGAGTTGGGGGTGGCGGGGGCGCCGCCTTCCGGCCTGCCGGCTGCGCCCCTGGGCTGCTGCTGCTGCTGGCTACGTGTGCCCCGCATTTGGAGCTCAGCTCGTGTTCTCAGTGGCCTGCCAGTGGCTGCCAGTGGCCTGCAGCCAGCCCCCTGCTGCCCTCACCCCGCCTGCCCGCCCCCCCTGCCGCGCAGTCACCCTGGAGGAGCTGGGCGACGACCAGGAGTATGGGGACATCATGGAGGACATGAAGGAGGAGTGCGGCAAGTATGGCACCGTGGTGCAGGTGAGGAGGGTGGGGGTGGAATGGTGGAGGGCGGGGGCTGGCCAGGGTTGCCGGGCTCGTGGTGGGCCGTGGTGCAGCGCCCTTGGCATTTTGACTGACTGGCTTAGCTGAGGTGGCGCTGGTCGCAAGGCATGAATGCATGCAGGCGGCAGTGCACGGCAGGCTGTGTGGGTCTGGCTCATTGCCTGCGCCGCCCGCCTGTGGTTGGTGTGCAGGTGCACATCCCGCGGCCAGCGCCGCCCAGCGCCCCGCCTCCGCCAGGACTTGGCAAAATCATCATCGAGTTTGCGGGTGGGTGGGCCCGCCGCGCTGTGCTGCGCCCTGCTGCGCTGTGCCCTGCCGAGCTGGCAGCCCTTGGTTTAGGAGCGCAGGCATGCATGGGCCGCGCACGGCGGGGCCCTGAGCAACCCGCCCGCCCGCCCGCCCGCCTGCCTGCAGAAACGCCGGCTGCCATGGCGGCGCGCAACGCCATGCACGGCCGCAAGTTTGGCGGTCGTGTTGTGGAGGCTGTGATGATGGGGGACAGCGACTACAGCCAGTTCAAGTGGGACTGAGCAGGCGGCGGCGTGCGAGCACGGCGGACGCTGGGCCGGGCGCATGCGGGCCAGCCCAACTGCAGTTGCTACAGTGCCTGGCTTCGGTTTTGCACTATGTATGCTGTAACACCTCACAGTTCAAGCCTATCAGGGCTCACAGTCGCTCTCAGAGTGAGCAGCAAGGGGGGGGGATGGTCGCTCCACAGGCTGCTGATTCAGGGGCGGGAGGGGGACGGGAGGGCGCTGCGGGCTGCTGCTGCTGCACCCCCTGGGCCTCCACCACCAAGCCATCCACCCACAGACGCACCACAACAACTCAATCAGGGCTGTGGGCAGCCTGGGGAGCAGCCATCTGACCAAAAGGTGTGTTGGCGCCAGGCTGGCTTGGTGGAACTCTGCAGTAGGGCAACTGAGCAGTCAACCCCCCTTGCATCTGATGCCCCCAGCAGCATGAGATCCTCCAGGGCAAGCCCAGCCCTTGATCGAGGGCCTGGCAGTGCTACACAGCTTGGGTTGAGGCCAACAGGCCGTGGTCTGAGGGTGGGGTGTCAATTCTCATGTGGGCTCCCAGTGGTGAGTCTGACGCGGCAGCGGCTGCGGCGGCGAGGGCAGGGAGAGGCTCCCAGCACCACCTCCTCCAACGAGCCATCTCCCCTTGACCAGCCAGCCTCCAGAGGCTTCAAAACTTCATTTTACATTCAGATGGAGGCCGTGGAGGGCGCAGGAGGGAGGGAACGAGCAGGATGATGGAGGTCGGGGGAGCGTTACCGCTGGTGGCGCCTTGCGCTTGGCGCCGACGCCCCTGACACCTCAACCATGGCTCCATTGCTGCCGCCTGCACCTTTACACTCGTTTGCATGCATAATAATGCTGTTTGAGCGCTTGAAAGCGGGAGATAAGGTCCCCCCCCGAGGTGGGTCCCTCCTGCATGCTTGCCATGCACACCACCTCCCCAAGCCTCCCCGCCACTCCCAGCCCCCCCCCCAACCCTTCCGTTGCACCAGCGAGCGGGGTACCCGCCCGCCCGTCCGCCAGAGCGACGCTCCCCCGTCCGACCATGCAAGGCACCCACATGCTGCTCCTGTCTTACCCGCCTGACTGAACCAAAGAGGGGGATTTGGAGCCTCAACTCAAGCAGTTCCCCTCCTCTTTCACTCTGTTTGAAGTGGGTTTGTAAGCGCAGCTCGTCGGCGTTGCAGTCAACAGTCTCCTGGTGGGTTGTGCAGACCTCAGGCCTCCTCTGACAGCGCTTGCTGGCCGCTTGCCTGCATTCCCAGCAACCCAATCAGCCACGGGAGCTTTCAGAAACGCAGCCCCGCCGATTGCCTGGGGCTCCCCGGCTGATGCGATGCATCGCAGTCTGGGGTTGACACATGCCAACCCACGCCTGGTACCCCTCGCGTGCCTGCAAATGCCTGCCTGCCACCGATATCGAGTTCAAATGCCCGATGGCTGCCCCCTGCGCCCTCCGTCGCAGGCTCCGACCGCCCCGCCCAACATCAGCATCAGCACCACAGCGCCATGGCGTTGACCAGGCCCCTGACCCTCCTACTGTCCCTGCTGGCCCTGGCCCAGATGGGTCCCCTGTGCGTCGGCGGCCGCCATCTTACGGCGTCTGCACGGGAGCGGCAGCAGTTTGCCGAGCAGCTGGCCACGCAGGTCAGTCCCTCCTCCCTTGCGCTGGCGCCTGCGCCACCTGCCCCCCGCCCATCATCGCACTGCCCGTTTCCACTCTGAGCATGCTTGCTTCCACCAAGGCAGGTGGCCACCCCCATACCCGCCCCCATCCCTCAAGCATGCCCGCCTCCTCTTGCTCCTGTTGGCGCAGAAAGCCTGGGAGGCGTCTGAGATGGCCAAGATTGCGGAGCAGGTGGCGCAGGAGGCGGCCAAGCTGGAGGACATGAAGTCCAGGCAGGAAGTGAAGGATGCCAAAGACAACGTACGTTTCAGGATGCGCGCGCGCTTGTCCTCTGAACCGCCGCTGTCGCCAGGAGCATCATGCCGACGTCGGCTGCTTTCGTCTGCTCCCTGCAGGTCGAGATGATCAAGAAGGCGGCCAGGACGGCACGCAGGGACTCGGTTGAGCAGCAGCAGCTGGAGGACAAGGCGGCTGAGGCGTTCAAGGAGGCTGAGAAGGCGGCCAGGCGGGCGGCCAAGAAGGCGGCCAAGGAGGCGGAGAAGCAGGCCAAGAAGGAGGCCGAGAAGGACAGCAATGAGGACGAGGCTGCGGAGGAGGCGTACGCCCAGCTCGTGGCCGCCGCTGGCGACAGCAGCGACAGCGACGGCGGCTCCAGCAAGAAGAGTCGCCGCAGCACGGAGGGGGGCGACGACAGCACGAGCAGCAGCGGCGGCAGCAACGGTCTAGCGGGCCCCATCTGGGGCATGCAGGTTGGGCAGGGCTCCAAGGGCGGCCCCGACCCTGTATATGCCACCTACCACTGTGAGTGCCCAGCACACGGAAACACTGGGGGGGGCGGCAGCGCAGGGCTGCGCACATATGCAGGCCATGCAGCCTGCATGCATGGCTTGCAAGATGCAAGTGCACTTCTGCCAGGCGCCTGACTGGCTGCCCCGCCCTCCCTCCATGCCGCAGACTACGCCCCCGGCTACGAGACCTCCTCCCTCTACTGCGCCGACGCCTTTGCACCCGACCTGGTGCGCTGCCGCCTGAGCCCTGCACCCTGGCTGCTGCCCCCGCCCTTGCGCCGCACCTGCCAGCCCCCGTACGCCCGCCAACCGGCCAGCTTGCTGACGCTGTTCCCTGCCCTGCCTGCCTGCCTGCCTCCTGCAGCCCGCCAGCCCCAGCACCTACCTGCTGGAGCACCCCTGGATTGCCTACTGCAACGACGGCGGGCTGGGCCCCATGAGCCAGGACAAGTGCGGCAAGGTGCTCCAAGGTCACCAACCCCGCCACTGGAAGATGGGTCAAGGTCCTGGTCGTCGATGTGAGTGGCGCTGAGCATTCTGGGGGAGCGCTGGCGGCCATTCCCACCTTGCACCAGATGTGTGCATGGTTGTTGTGCGGTGGCGCTGCCTGCGCATGCTTGCCTGCGCATGCTGCCTACCTGCTGCCTCCATCCCCACTCACCTTCCCCCTCCCTTGCCTCGTCCCTCTCTGCAGATGTGCGGCCAGGGAGGCATCGACATGGACCCGCTGGGCTTCAATGCCATCGACGACGGCCAGGGCGTGGCGGATGGGCACATGAACGTGCACATCGAGTGGGCGTGAGCACCCTGCCCCTGGCATGCTCGCCGGTGGGGCCTGTGGCCATCAGTGCCCCCCCACCGTGAGCAACCTTTGAGCGGGGCCCGCCCGGCTGCCTGGGCGCCCAATCCCATGCACAACACGGCCCTCCACGGAGCTATACAACCAACAATGCGACGCCCTCCCTTTTCATGCTGCCGACCTCCTTTTCATTTGACTCCATGGCCCGTCTCACTGTCCTCTCCAGAGTTCATTCTCTTACCACCCTGACACCGCGCCCTTGCGCGCTCTCTGTTCCAGAGTAACCCCCGCATGCAAGGCCCGCCTGCGGGCCCCCGCTGCCCAGCGCGTGCCTGTGTGCGCTCGCGTGTGTGCCTACCCATCTCCTCCGGCCTCTAGCCATGTTTCCCCTGCACGCCAATATTTTTTTTATGCGCGGCCCCCGTCCGCAATTCGCGCATACTCCTGACCACACTGCCTTGCCTCTTTATCCTGCTGTCCCGCCTGGCCACTGTACCCAGCGCCCACCTGCCCGGCACCCCGTGCATGGCGCTCCTCTGTGCCCCTCTGCACAGGCGTTTTGTTCTTTGCTGATTCCTCGCTGTTTGCTGAACAGTTATTTGATTTTAAGGAACCATCCTGGCGCAGAGAGTTGGCACTCTTACAGCGCGCACATGGCGCCAGTTCAGGTCGACAAGGGGGAACAGCTGACCTGCCATACCAGCAAAAGGACGACGCAGCGCGCACCGCCCCAGGATCAGCCCTTCTGCTTCAGGATCAGCTTGTCGCCTAGGCTGAGGGCAATGCCCTGCGTCTTGGACCTGCGGGCGGGCGGAGCCACACAAGGCGGGTGGGCAGGCGGGCCAGCCCACCACCTGACCCAGGCATGCAGCCCTGCACACCCTCCCTCACCGCCTCGGTCCACACCCAGCCTGGCCGCACGGCCACGGCCGCTTGCTGCCCCCCTTCGCCAGCGCACCTGATGCGGATGTAGCCGCCCAGCCGCCCATCCGGCAGCTTCTCCACGCTCACGTTGACCAGCGCGTCCTCCCCAAACACGCTGCGCGCATACAGGTTGGCCGCCAGGAAGCCGCAGTCGCCATCCAGCGCCGAGGGCGGCGTCAGGCAGCGCTGCAGGCGGGGCAGGGGTGGTGGTGGTGAGGGGGGAGGGCAGGGCAGGCAGAGATGTTTGATGGGACGCAGCCTGCCCCTGTAGCAACCAGCTAGGCCCAGCCGGCCGCTCTTGCCCCTCCCTGGCAAACAGCCCGTCCAGCCGATGCCGGCCTGGACCGGCCCGGCCGCGCCGCACGGGCGCCGCACCATGTTTGTGGATGCGATGATGTGCTGCAGGAAGTCTGTGGGCTGGTCGATGGATGTGTTGATGGCCACCTTGTTCTCCCACTCAAACTCCGCCCACATGGAGCGGAACTGCACGTCTGGGCAGGTGGCGGGCACGATGTAGTCCATGATGTCGATGTGGATGTCGTTGAGAACCACCACGCTGCGGGGGGGGGGGAGGTGGTGTGTGTGTGTGTGTGTGTGTGTTGTTGTGTGTGTGTGTGCGTGGAGGAGGGGCTGGGTGGCGCGGCCCCCGCGGCGCGCCCCACCTGCGGTCTGCATACCCCGTGGACTCGTACACCAGGTTGCCAAAGATGGCGCCCGTCTCGGTGGAGGAGACCTTGATGTTGGCGCGGATGGACTGAGGGCGGTGGGTGGGTGTGTGGGTGGGGGGGCAGGCAGGTGGCGGCGGTGGGTGGGAGGCAGTGGAGGCGCGCAGCGGCAGGGACGTGCGCAGCGGCAGAGGGCGCGAGCGGTGGAGCGCGCGAGCGTGCCTGGCTGGGGCTGCAACCAGGGGCGCTGGCGGGCAAGGCAGCCTGCCAGCCCCTTCCCCGCAGGGCCACCCTCCCGCCAGCCTGGCACCTCTGCCCCCCTGCCCTGCGACAGGGAGGCGCAGGCGGCTGGGCGCCCCACCTTGGCCGCGCCGGGCGCCAGCGTGTGTGCCTGCGGGCGCTCCACCAGCTTCAGGTCTCCCATGGTGGCCAGCTCCAGGCTCACATTCTGCATCGTGTCGCCGGTGCGGTTGATCACATTCACATCCAGCACAATGTCGTACTGGTGCACTGCGGGGGGGCGGGCGGGGAGGCGGGGAGGTGGGGGAAGCGACAGGCAGCAGGCGGCAGGCAAAGGGTGAGCCAGGCAGGCAGGCGTGGGCTGGGGCATGCATGCATGTACGAGGCCAGGCAAGGCTGGGGGCATGCAATGTGCGCATGCGGCTGCTGGACCCGCCCCTGCAAGCCCCGACACCGCGCCTCCTTTCAACCACATACACCCACCCCCACAACCCACCCACCCACCCGTGACGTAAGCCTCTGCGTAGATGGGGTCGCTGAACCCCGTCAGCTGCACAATCTTGTTGAGGCGGTTGGTGGCGGCGGAGGCGGCGTCGGCCAGGCCGGTGGCGCGCGCCAGGTCGGACGCCACGCTGTCCTCCAGCTCCACCTTGCTCAGGCCCTTGCGCATCTTGAGGTGGTGGAAGTCGATGAGCTCGTCGGGCTGGCACAAGCTCTTGGCCTTCTGCGGGGGGTGAGGAGGAGGAGGGGCAGGTGGCGGCGGGCGGTGGTGATGTGTGGTGGGGGGGGCGGCACACGCGGCCGCGGCGGGGGCGTGCAGCGTGGGAAGGAAGGCCAGCAGGCGTGTTGCCAGCGCGCCTGCCGGTGCCAGGGCAGCCCCTGCAGGCGCCAAGGCCCCAGGCGCTCTGCCGCCCGGCCCCGGCTGGCGGCGCGCCCTGGCCCCGCCCACCCCCACCCCCCGGCCGCGGCCGCACCTCCTGCTTGGCCTCTGCCGCCTCGCGCTGCTGCTTGTCGGCGATGAGGGTGGCAAAGGAGGCGCGGCAGTCGTGCAGCCAGACGCGCGCCAGGCCCGCGTCCGCCCCCGCCAGCGCGCGCAGGCAGGCGGCGATGCGGTCCCGCGAGTCTGCGTCCAGAGGGTGCATGCCCGCGGCGGCGGCAGCCCCAGACTCCCCCAGCCGCAGGATGGCGGCAATACAGGCCATGGCGTCGGCGGTGGCGCGGTGGAGTGAGGCGGGAGGCAGGTCGCGCAGGTCGCGCAGGCGCAGCACCAGCTTGGTGAGCGTGGCGGCAATGACGGCGCCCAGGAAGAAGTCGCCGCCCAGCAGCAGCGCCCTGCAGGCACAGGGGGGTGGGGGGGGGGGTGGTGTGAGGGCACCAGCAGGCAGGTTGAGGTGGAGGGCGGGGAGGGAGGGAGGAGGTGGCAGGCGGGGCAGCGCTGTGTGCAGGGGCCATGCGGGGGTGCATGCTTGCGTGCAGGCTGGCAGCAGGGAGCGGCTGGGGCCCGCTGGCAGGCCCGCAGGCAGCAGCGGCAGCGGCAGCGGCAGCAGCAGCGGCGGCAGCGGCCACCTGAGGTTGGGCACGTTGCTGGCTGCGGTGGTGGCGGCGGCCGACCCCGCCACCTGGGCGCCCTCCCCGGGCAGCGCCGTCTGCGTGGCGTAGCTGCCGTCTGCCAGCACGGCGGGGCGCGCCGCCGCCATCTGGATGGGTATGGGCAGGCTGGCCGCCTCTGCCTCCTCCTCCTCCTCCCCGCCCCGCTCCTTGAACAGCGGCAGCGGCCCCAGGCAGCCCTTGATCATGTCCACCGCCGTGGCAATCTCCTCCGCGCTGCGGGTGCAGTACTCGGAGATGATCCACAGGGCGCAGGAGCAGACGCGGGAGGCGCGCACGGCGGGGAAGGTGTCCATCAGGCGCTCGATGATGGTGTCGTGCAGGCGCGGGTTGGTCTGTGAGGGGAGGGGCGGCGGGGGTGGGGGCGGCGGTGTCGGCGTGCGGGGACAAGGGAGGGGCATGCTGGGCGAGTGAGCGGAAGCAGGGCGGCCACGAGCAGGCGGCGCCACCCCTGGCTGCCACCCCCGCAGGTGCAGCAGCAGCGGCGGCGGCGGCGCGGCGTGCTGGCGCCCCGCTGCCAGCCGCCCACCTCGATGATTTCGCGTATGAAGAAGATGACGTCCAGCGCGGATGCGGTGTTGGTGTCGGACAAAAAGTCGCAGAGCAGGTGCAGCACCGAGGCGGCCACGTCTGGGAAGCGCACCGCGCACGTGTGGATGGCCTGCACCAGCAGCTGCCGGTACTCGGCCCCCTTCTCCAGCTCCCGGTTCTGCGTCTTCATGGCCTCCTTCTTCAGCACGCCCACCACCTGCGGGCAGGCAGGCTGGGGGCGCAGCCTCAGCAGCAGCCACACCCGCCACCATGCCACCCGGGCACCTCGTGTCACGACCGCAGGCGGCCAGGCGGCCCACAGGCGACACCCGCCCCACACCCCCACCTCGTCGATGTTGCGCGCGTCGATCAGGTCCAGCGCGATGTCCAGCGTCTTCTTGCGGATGTCCAGGTTGGGGGCGGACAGCGCGCGCAGCACGTCCATCAGCAGCTCGCGCATCACGTCGTGGTGCCGGTCCTTCAGCTCCTGCACGCCCGCCCGGGTGGGGGTGGGGGTGGGGGCATACATGGGGCGCAGGTGGTCAGGTGGAGGGCCGGTGCTGGTGCCTGCCAAACCACTCAGCCACCAGCAGGCATCCCCAGGCCCCGCCACCCACCACCGTCTCCAGCTGCCCCCAGCCTCCCACCCCCACCTCCCCCCACCACGCACCTGCAGCCTGTCCAGCACGATGAGCTTGACGTTGTTGTCGCTGTGGCTGACCAGCAGCTGGCAGAAGCAGTTGGCGGCAGCGCGCACGGCGGTGGGCGCCGACGACAGCGACACCAGCGTGACGGCGCACTCGTACATCACGGCGGTGGACCGCGACTGCAGCAGGGCCAGGATGATCTTGATGTACTTGCCCTTCTGCTCCGGGTTGGTGCGGCACACCTGCGGGGAGGCAAGGGGAGGGGGCAGGTGGGGGGCAGGGGCGGCGCGAAGGCAGGCGCGCACACACGCCAGCGGCGCGCGCAAAATTGCCATGGCACCGCCGGCATGCTTCCCTTCCCACCCACAACAAGCAGTGGCCCCCAGCCTGCGGCTTCCACCCCGCACCCACCTTGCGGATCAGGTCGAGCACCGCAATCTGCAGGATGTCGCCCCAGTCGGCCACGCGGTCTATCTGCTGGAACATGTAGGTCACAGCCTTGTCGGTGGCATGCTCTGCCAGCATGTGGAAGGCGTTGCGCCGCGTGCTCAGGTCCTGCGGGGCAGGGTGTGCGGGTGGGGGGTGCAGGCAGCCAGGTTCGGCGCATCTGCTGCAGCACACGAGCCGCATGGAGCGGCGAGCAGCAAGAACCAGGCTGCGAGTGGCGCCAGTGCACTGCTCCAGCCCCTGCCGTGGCCATCCCCTAGTGACTCGCACCCGGCCGCCACCCCGCACCTGCTCGTTCTGCAGCATGCGCTCCACCAGCTCCGGCGCATCGGGCACCAGCAGCTCGCCCTTGGGCAGCTTGTAGATGGCCGTCAGCGCCAGCACCGCATTCTTGCGCACATACGAGTGGCGATGGTCCAGGTTGGCAATCACTGCGGGGGCGGGCGGGCCAGCGCAGCAGGCGGCGAGCAGGTCACGCGGCCAGCGGCAGCACTGGCAGCCCTTCAGCGGGCCAGCCATCAGCCTTGTCTCCCAACGTTGCTGCCCATCAGCCTGCTCTCCCTGTTCCCCCAGCCGCCAGCTTGCCCAGTCACACACAACCAGCCGCCGCCCGCCCTCACCCGAGGGGACCAGCGGCTCCAGCAGCTCCTCCTCGTGGATGCGGCACAGGAAGCGCAGCGTGACGCCCCGGATGTACTCGTTGGGGTGCTGCAGGTTGTTGCGCAGGTTCTGACAGATCAGAATCATCTCCGGCAGCAGCTTGCCCTGCGCATCCGTCTTCTCAATCGTCTCCTGCGGGCACACCAAAGCAGGGCAGCCGCAGTGGTGAGCCATGAGCCAGGCAGGCCAGCAAGCCCAGGGATGCGGGCAGCACGCACTGCACGCCATCCACACGATTCAAACCCTGGGTTCTCCTGCAAGGGCACCTGGTGCCTGCCAGCCTCCCAGACAAGCACCCAGCTGCACCCCACGCCTCCCAGACCAGCGTGGATGCCCTGTGGACTCACCAGGTACAGGAGCAGCAGCTTTTGCACCAGGTGGTTCTCGCTGGGCAGCACGTAGCGCACAATGGTGATGAAGAGGGCGGGGAACTGCTCGCCCGCCAAGATGGCGGCAATTGCCTTCTGCATTGCGTCCACCTTGGCATCCTCATCGCTAGACTCCAGCGCCTCCCGAATCTCATTCTGGGAGACCTGCACGTCGATGGGCAGCAATGGGCAGGCACGCGGGGCGGGCCAGCGAGCTTGGTGGCGGCAGCGGAGGTCGGGACCGGTGCTTGGCGCAGTGCCCGAGCCCCGCACCGCCGGCGCCATTGCAACTGCTGTCACTTTCTGTGGCCGCACACATTGCCTGACCACATCGCTGCCGAGCTGCTGACCAGCGCAAGCACAGTCGCCAGCCTGCTTGTCGGCGCCGTCCAGGCCGTCAGGATCGCTGATCGCCGCGCCTGCTAGCTGTGCCCCCGCGGCCCCGCCTCCCTCCGCTGCTTTTGGTGCGCAGCAGGGCTGGGGGAGGCCACCGCCCTTGATCGACCGAGCCCAAACTCGGCTGGCGTCCTTCGCAGCGCACCTGGGCTTTGTCCCCCGACACAAGGAAGGTGGAACTCTTCTCGTGCTTGCTGCTAACCATGGCTGCCGGCTGTCCAGGCCACGGGCGACCCGCCCAAACAACTGCCCGCTAGGCGATAGGCAGCGGCAGCACCTTGCCCACCCCGCTCTGCCGCTCGGACTCGATGAAAGGTGGTGCAGGGAGCGGGCGATGAGCGCCCAGAGCGGGAGAATGGGGGAGGAAAGGCGAGGAACGGAAGAAGGGGAGGAAGGGCCTGCCTGGGTTGCGAGCCGAGTTGTGCGCTGTTGTGTGGCGTCCACATTGATCAGACGACGATTGGGCATGCAGGAAGTGACAACCCTACCGGTTTCCCGCCTCCACTGTTGTGCTGCCTGGTTGCAGGGTGTGGGAGGTGGCAGGACCCTCAGCAGACCACTGTTCAGCTGTATCGATCGGGCAACATGGTTCCGGGAGAGCAGAGGAGGGGTGGCCCTGCACGGCCGCTCTCGAAAGGTGCAGCGCGGGGGTCCAGCGGCGGCAGCGCCCTCGTCTCTTGGGCATGGTGTCGGTCGTATCATCAGGGCCGGGTCAAAGCAGGCCCAGCAGTGGGTCGCGTGGGTATCAGCACAGTTTTCCTGTTGGGAGCGTCGCTGCTGGGCAACTGCCTCTGAGCTACACCAATTCCGGTTGAGCGGCAAGCGCAGAATTGCTCTTGCATTTGCATTTCAGCCCGGGTGGCTTCGTCAACGGATAGTGGATCCAGCACTGGGCTTGCAGGGGAGCCAGTCAGCCCCGACAGCAACGTTTCTGCGCTGCGCCCATGCAAATCAGGTGTCGACCGCCGGTTTGCCGCCGCCCGAGATGGGAGCCTGGCGCACTCCTGCCCAAGCCAGCAGCAACTTGTGCACGCAGTGGGCGCTGATGCGTAATTCAGCATTCAGCAATGTGCAGGACGCCAGGTTCGGTAATAAGGAGACAGCGACAGAGAAAGCTGAGCGTGAGACCAGACTTCACACACAGTTGGGCAGCAGGCCTGCGCGTGTTACAAATACAGCCAATTGCGGCTTGGCACTCTGCCTCTGCCGCTGCATTGAGGGCAAACTTCCCGTTTTCCCCCGGATCCCCTCGCCAGCCTGGAGGGCGCTATCACCTTCCCCTCCACACCAGGCCTGGCACATTGCATCGCAAGTCAAAGGACCGAGTGCCGGGCTGTTAATATGGCGGCGGTGGCAGCATGCAGCGCGGTCATGCAGCCTTGCAGTGCTGTGGCGGGCACCAGGAGCACTAGCAGCCGGGCGGCGGCCTTCCGCCCCCTTACCAGCTCCCGTGCCCTGGCAGCAAGGCCCCTGGTGGCCGCGCAGGCAGCAGCCGCTGGCCGGCGCCAGGCAGTGGTCGTCTCGGCCTCAGGTGGGGCCCCGCCCGCACAATGCGTTACGTTTGCCCGCCCAGCTGCCCCTGGACGGGCCATCCGCGCGGTGCTGTGGAGGCGGCAGGCTTGGCCGCCGCGCAGTCGCCCTCCACTCCCGGCAGGCGGCAGCGCTGTTGCCAACCCCCTGCGTCCGCCTTGCGTTTCCCTGCCTGCAGCAGCAGCAGCAGCCCCCACGCAGCAGAAGATCCGCATCAAGCTGAAGAGCTACTGGGTGGACCTGCTGCACGACTCTGTGGAGAAGATCAGGGAGGCGGCCAGCAGCACGGGCGCCAGCATCGCAGGCCCCGTCCCGCTGCCCACCAGGTGCGCCGCGCTGGGGCGAGCGCCGCGGGAGGCGGGAGCTCCCCACAGCAGCCAGGAGCCGCAGGTCGCCAGCAGCCAGGGGCGGCAGGCGGCCGGTGCCTGCTCCAGGCGGGGCGCTCGACAGTCTCAGCACCCGCCCCCGCGCCCCGCCCGCGCCCCCCGCCCCTGCAGGAAGAAGGTGTACACGGTGCTGCGCTCCCCGCACGTCAACAAGGACTCGCGGGAGCAGTTTGAGGTGCGCCTGCACCAGCGGCTGGTTGACGTCAAGGACCTGTCGTCGGGCACCATTGATCGCCTCATGACCCTGGACCTGCCCGCCGGAGTGGACATCGAGGTGCGGGGCGGGGGCGGCGCTGGGGCCTGGGGCCAGCCGCGCAGGGCAGGGCCGCACGGCTGGGCAGGGCGGGCACGGCTGGCCAGGGCGCAGGGCTGGGCTGGGCTGGGTGTGCATGCATGGACGGGGAGCGAGCGCCGAGCTGCGCGTGTGCGAGGGGGCGGGCGTGCCAAGCCCCTGCCGCCCCTCTCCCTTGCAGGTCAAGCTCTGAGCGCGCCGCACCCGCGCACCGCACCCGCCACGCGCGGCAGCACCGCGTGCTGCAGCAGCCGCCCGTGAGCGGCAGCGGCCGTAGCGCTGCGCCCCAGCCCCGCCGCAGCAGCGGCGCCAGCCACGGCTCGCCGCTGCCTCTCCCCCTCCAGCAGTTTTCCCCCCGCGGGCCGCCTCTCTGCGCTCGCATGCTCCCCCTTCCCTTTCCGCTGTAAGTCTGCCACACACGCACTCACACAGCATGGCCAGGTTGCCGCCACGTTGCTGAGGGAAGAGGGGCGGGCGGGCGGAGGCAGGAAAGCAAGAGAGCCGGCAGCAAGCGAGGGGCCGTCACCGCTGTTTCCGCTTGCGCTTGCTGCCTGCCACCGCCGCCGCGGCGGCGCCCTCGCCGCCGTCCTCGTCCTCCTGCGCTGGCGCGCCGCCCTGCATGACCGCCATGACCGCCTCCCAGCTCAGCTCCTGGTCATCGTACCCCGCATCATCCTCATCCTCATCATCCTCATCCTCGCTGCTGCCGCTGCCCGATGCCTGCTCGCTGCTGCCGTCGCCATCCTGCGGGCAGGCAGGCGGGCAGGGGCAGCCGGCGCTCAGCTGCGGCGCCGAGGCGTGGGCGGCGGCGCCTGGGCGGCATACAGCGGGCAGCAGGAGCAGCAGCAGCGGCGCCTCCGCACCTCTTCGTCCCCGCTCTCCCCCTCGCCGCTGCTGGCGCTGTCGCCGGGGCCCCGGGGGCTGCCCTCCTCCTCCTCCTCCTCCTCCTCCTCCTCGCTGCCGCTGCTGATCACATCCGACTCGTAGCCGGCCCCCTCCTCCTCCCCCTCCTCCTCCTCCCCCGCGTCTGCAGGCGTGAAGAAGCCCTGCTGCACGGGGATGGCCAGCCGCCGCTGCTTGGCGGCGGCCGCCGCCGCGTCGGCCGCCAGCGCGCGCGCCGCCGCCGCCGCCTTCTCCGGGTCGCCGTCCACCGCCGCCTTGGCATCCTCCTCGGTCACCGCCTCCGCCGCCAGCGGCGCTGCCTGGCCGCCCTCAGCAGCAGCAGCAGCCGCCGCCGCCGCGTCGCCGTCGGCGTCGCCGCCCCTGCCGGGCTTCTCGTCTGTGTGCCCCGGCGGCAGCGTGAAGAAGGGGATCTTGCCGCGCTGCCAGTCGTACAGCACCATGCGCGCGGCGGTGTTGAGGTCGGGCTCGCCGCCCTTGCCCAGCTTGCCTGCGGGGCGGCAGGGGGGGCAGCACACGGGGAGGTTAACGCGTTGCGGCCGGGAGCACACGCACGGCAGCCAGGCTGCCGAGCCCCAGCTTGTCGCCACCGCCACGCGTGCAGCCACCACGCCCGCCTCCCCTCCTGCCTTCCCACCTGCCCTGCCCACCTGCCCCGCCCCTCAGCCACCACCTCAGCCTGCCAGCCCCCACCTGTCTGTCGCGCCACCTGCCCCAGGAAGTCCTCCACGCCGCTCCAGGACGCCGCCTTGTAGGCGCGGCGCAGGTACTCGGGCTTCACCCGCTCCAGCACGGGGCCCACATGCTCCGTGGCATCCTCCTGCGGGGGGAGCGGGGCGGGGGTGGGGTGGGGTGGGGTGGCGGGCCAGCACGCTCTCTGAATGCTGCGGCGGCATCAGCAGCGGCATCAGCAGCGGCCGCCGCCGCCGCCGCCGCCGCAGCGGCAGAGCTGAAGAAGCCCCTCCCCTCCCTCCTCCCGCCGCCTCCTCCCCCCCCCACACACACACCCCACACACACACCACCAAGTGCGCCGTCCACCCACCAGGTTCTCCACCCGCACCACGCCCTTGAGCACAATGTCCGACTGGCTGTCGTCGGTCTTGTTGTACACCACGCCCGGGCAGTCGATGAGGAAGATGCGCTTCATGAGGGTGATGTACTGCCACACCTTGGTCTCGCCGGGGATGGGGGCCACGCTGCACACCTGGCGCGGGCGCAGGGCGGGGGTGGAGGACAGAGGGGGCAGGGGGCGGCGGGGTGGGTGGGTGCGTGGGTGTGGGGCCCAGGGGGCAGGGCGTGCCGGCTGCTGGCAGGGGCAGCCGCGGCG